AGAGAGAAAGAATCAGAACCGAGCTCTGCCAGCACCACTGTATAATGTGGGCAACCCAGCTTTTTAAGTGAGAGAAATTCAGAGCCAGATCATCTTGGCACTGAAAGACGCTTCAGTGATTGGCTGGTCTGATTCCCATCCAGATGTCACGCCCTGAGATATTCTAGCCTTCCTCTCCCCCAGCCTCTCTAGTGTCCCTGTATAGGGCACCTTCTCCAGTCAGCATTCTCTGCTGTCATCAGCAGCCAGGAGCTTGCATATGAAGCTATTAAGTGGTCAAGTATTTTGGAATATAAGGTGGAAAATGCACCCACTTCCTGCCGCTTATTCTCCCACTATGTGATCTTGAACAAGTCAATTCACTGCTCTGAGCCTCGGTTTTCCCATCTGTACCAAAAGCCCAGTATTATTTGCCTTGCCCTTGTAATATTGTAAAGTGCTTTTTGCTGCTCAGCAAAGGTAAATGCTTCATGAAGGGAGGCACGAGATGGCCATCGAGTGAACATCATATGAGGCAACAGAGGAGAAAAGCAGTATAGAATGGAGCACCTGAGTCCTCAACTCACACACCTGTGCAGATGCTGGAAGGAGCAAGATTTCTTCTCCTCCAGGTATAATGGATGCATTTAGACCATGGTTCTCTGTAGCCAATACCCCTGCCTTTGTTTCCTTAATGTATTCTTTTTGCTACTTCCCTAAATTCCAGTCTCACTTATTGAAACTTACTACCTCATTGATTAGCCTTAATTTTGAATTTCCAGGATTTTGTTTGCTTCACTCTTTTTAACCCCTTATGATAGAACAGATGGTTTCCAGCTTATACATTCGCTGCAAGAGAACATTCCATGTATCTGGACAGCATCGGGTCTGTCTCCTTCCTCATCCCACTGATGACGCCACATTATCTTACACATGCACACACACATGTATGCACATACATACATGTACAGACATGCACTATCCCAGCATGAGCCCTGGTCACAATTCCATTAGATACAATGGCAACATTGGCCTCACCATTCTTTTCTATGACATTTATCACTCCTTTAATCCCTTTGCAGGGGCCTATTACTAATATCTCAATCCTTTTGGCCAGATTGCATCTCTTAGCCCAGATGTCATTCACAAAGCCTAGTGTTGTAGTTCACAATATTTTCTTTAAAAAATATTTTTATTGATTTCAGAGAGGAAGGGAGAGGGATAGGGAGAAAGAAACATCAATGATGAGTGAGAGTCATTGATTGGCTACCTCCTGTATGCCCCACACTGGAGATTGAGCCCACAACCTGGGCATGTGCCCTGACCTGGAATCAAACCATGATCTCCTGGTTCATAGGTTGATGCTCAATTAGTGAGCCATGCTGGCCAGGCTAGTTCACAATATTTTAATTTACTATTAAAATATTTGATGACATGCCTATGTTAAGAATGTAAAGAAGTTTTCCTGAAAGACTATTTGTTAATATTTATCAAGTAGAATCTATGATAGATACCCAATATATTAGAATATGCGTCTGTAAAATATAAAAAATTTCAGAAATGTTTAGTGATATGGAAAAGGTATTAAAATATTAAATAAAAACAAGACACACACTTTTAAATGTAATACTAGAGGCCAAGTGCACAAAATTTGTGCAGGGGGTGTCCATCAGTCTGGCCTGCACCCTTTCCAATCTGGGACCCCTTGGGGGATATCCAACTACCTCTCACAATCCAGGACCGCTGCCTCCTAACCACTCGCTTGCCCGCTTGCTTGATCACTCCCAACCCCTCTGCTGCCTGCCTACCTGATTGCCCCTAACTACTCCCCTGCTGGCCTGATCTCCCCTAACCGCCTCTGCCATGCCCGCACCCGGGACCCAGAATTCCCTCCTCTGGCTAGTTGCAGGCACCTGGGGCCCAATCTTCCCTCCCTCTGGCTGGCCATAGGCACCCAGGACCTGGGCTGGCTTTGCCTGGGCCAGCAGCAGCCTCAGGAGACCGTGGGTGGGCGGCAGCTGCAGGTGCCCAGGACCACAGGGTGGGCAGCTTGTCCCTCTCCCAGGGCACAGCTGCAGGTGCATCCGCTGGCACCTGGGACTGCCAGGCAGGGGGCTTGTCCCTCTCCCAGACTGCAGCCTGGCTGGTCCCCATGCCTCTCTCACAAGTTCATTTGTGCCTGGCTAGTCCCCATTTCTCTCTCATGAGACCTTTTGTGCCTGGCTGGTCCCCATTATTTTCTGGCAAGCTCATTTGTGCCTGGCTGGTCCCCATTCCTCTCTCTCCAGTGTTGAGTGTCTGAGCCGTTATGGCATGATGGCATGATGATCATTTGCATATTAGCTCTTTATTATATAGGATGAGCCTGTTATTATCCATGGATGCTTGGATTAAAAAGAAAGAAAGAAATACAGCCAAATTCTAACAGTGACTATCTATGAGTAGGAGAATTCATTTTTTGCTTTATTCACTTGTCTGCATTATTTAATTTTCCACAATAAACATACATTAATGTCATAATAAGAAAAAGGTAAATGCTATTAAAAACTTTTTATTTTTTTGCTAAAGCATCATTTGTTTAAGTTCTGCTTAACCTCTACCAAGCCCAAATTTCTCGCTTGCCCCCATTGGGGCAATGTCAATCTCTTTGGCATGGCCCATGAACTAGTAGTTAATATTATTTCCAAAGATGAGGAGCTGGAAATGTAATGCAAGTTTATTATAATTACATAGAATATATCCAAGTAAAGAACCTGTGGGCATCTTTTGGTGGCAAGAAGCTAATCCTCATTAAGGATCCATGAACTTCCTGAACTGCCTTGAAAAATGAAATCATAGCTACCTCGTATTAGGCCTTCTGTTTTCCTCCAGGATGTTTCTTTCTTCCTGTGCTGTTCTTTGTTCTTTGCTCCCCACCAGAACCTGCCTTTCCCAAACCTGATTGGCCCTGGTCTTGTTGGAAGCTTGCCCAGGGTCCTCCAGAGGGCCTCCCCTTCCTCTGGTCTTGTGAGTCAGGGCAGAGCAGCCCATCTAGGTCTTGGGCCCATGGTGGCATCCTTGGGAAAATGGGGATACCCCAAACACCACCTTTGCTGAAGAGCTTGGGCAAGCAATTGATTCCATGACAAAATCTGCTTCTTTCTCGGGGGTGAAGGGGTGGGGGAAGTAAGGGCAAAATCTTTTATCCTATTGCAGACAATAATGGACACTCCTCTTCCACTTTATCCTTTATTTCTGGAATATAGTCAGTACTGCTTAATGATGGGGAGAATAAATCAAGAATAAGAGAAAATGCTGGCATCAAGAAACATGGTAAACACAAGATGTATGGGCTGATGCCAGCATAACACGGCATACTGTTTTACAGCAAACCCTTTTTTATTTTTTTAAGTAGAAAGAGAACACCATAAAATAAAGATAAAAAGAAGACAAAAAGTATAGTATAGTAAATACATAAACAAGTAATATAGTCATTTGTTATTATTATCAAGTACTATGTACTGTACACAATCGTATGTGCTGTACTTTTATAAGATGGGCAGTCTGTTTGTTTACACCAGCATCACCACAGACACGTGAGTAATGCATTGAGCTGTGACATTACGGTGGCCACAATGTCTATGACATCACTAGACAATAAGGATTTTTATTATTATTATTGACACTATTACAGTAGGGATTTTTCAATTCCATTATAATCTTATGGGACCAGTGTAATATATGAGGTCTTTGTTAATGAAAGGTCATTATGCAGTGCATGACTGTATCAGAAAGCACATGGATTTACAGTCACCCCAAATCCTGAAGCCAGACCTATAACTAGCTGCGGGAGGGGGGGGGGATTTGTGTAGGGCTGCAAAGATTGCTCATCTATGACATAGGACTAGTAACTTTACAGAGATGTTGGAAAAATATTTTATTTCTAGTCCTTCTTAAGAGTTTAACAACCAGTATCTTAATGAAAGGAGACTGCATAAAATAGTTTGATTGTACCTTTGTTCTTTCTCTATGTGTTTTCACAAAAGTAAACCTAATACCACATACACATTAGGTAGATATTTTTTGCACACACAAATGTGATTACAAGTACCTTTCAAACTTTCAAAGTAACCAACAAACTTCTATTCTATTTATTTATGATTAAATCTCTACATCAATCTGAGGTAGCAAATATGATTTTATTTGTATATGTAGTTGCTGTGCTCAAACAATGTATATTGAATGAATGTGTGAATAAGTTAAAAAATGAGTTTTGTCACAAAGTTACCTGATTATTTTATTTCTAGCCCTCCTTAGGCATTTAGCTACCAATATTTTGGTGAAAGAGACTACATAAAATAGTTTGATTATACCTTTGTTCTTTTTTGACATGTTTTTCACAAAAGTAAACTTAATTCCACATACACATTAAGAATGCTTTTTGCTTACACAAAGACATGTGATTACAAATACCTCCTCAAGAAGGTTGATCATCATTTGTACTTTTTGTAAGTAAAATGAATCTGGATGCTATTAAAAGCCGAAGGATTGGGGCTTTCATTAAGGAAATAACACCTGCAGCCCTGTGGTCCGGCTGGTGTGGTTCAGTGGTTGAGCGTCAATCTATGAACTAGGAGGTCACCAATTGATTGCTGCCAGGGTACATGCCTGGGTTGCAGGCTTTATCCCCAGTGTGGGGCATGCAGGAGGCAGCTGATCAATGATTCTCTCTCATCATTGATATTTCTATCTCTCCCTCCTTCTCCCTTGCTCTCTGAAATCAATAAAAATATATAAAAAAATCTGCTACTCTAAGAGCCTCACCCAGCCCCAATTCCTCAGCCTCAAATAAGGCAGTGACGTGGGAGTTCTTAAGTCTGCCCAGTTCCTCAGGAGGTCCTGCCAACTCCGCATTGTCCGGTTTGATTTGCAGTCAGATGCCTTATGCTGGCAGGCACTGGGCAGGCAATGAGTTCTTTCCCTGTAAGTTGGGCACAAAAAGGTCAGCCTGGGAGCAGTCTCCTTTGGGACAGCCGCTCTGAGGAAACGCAGTAAGGAGCCCGCAGAAAGTCCTGGAGCACAGGGTGACTCATGGGAGGAGTTAGTTCAGCTTGCTAAGTACTGTCATTTGCTGAGTGCAGGTGTGTGCGCAAGAAGGAGTTGTAACCTGGAGGATCATTAACTCTTTCAGTCAGCTGGCAACTCCAGTGGCTCGGCAAATTCCTCCTGGAAGCGCCTGCTCTGGGAAGGTCAGGGAGGAGGAGTGGAAGCACTTGTCCATGGGGGACCACTTTGAGAAGGGCCAGCATGCTTTGCTCAACGAAGGAGAAGAGAATGAGATGGTAAGATTCTAGCTCCTTTCCTCTCTTCCCATTCCTACACACACACACACACACACAGACACACACACACACACACACACAAAGACACACACTTCTCTGCAACTTGACTCTGGGATTAATGTGAGAAAGACTAATGGCCAAGAAATATCCCTGCCCCATAAATATAACCGCTGACAACGTAAATGTGCTAGACTGAACATATTGTATTCATTTTATCATGAATGTTTGCTTTTTAAAATAAAACGGAAAGGGAGAGAAGCACAATGCCACTTTAGGATGCATTTTTGAGCCTTCCCAGGAAAGCAAGTTCTATTCAAAGCTTCTTATAATTTCAGCACATCCCTAAGGCTGGGAGCAGGGTATTCCCCGATAGCAAGAAGCAGAACGTCAACAGGAAATAGGAGTGCAGCCGGGTCTCTGATCTTTTTCTCTTCTCAAAGACTGTTGGACAGTAAAGATGTGTGGAATATTAACAATTATACACACATTTCTGTTTACTTCTAGAAATTTGCCTGTAGCTTCCTAGTTATAGAAGTTGATGAGGTTCATGTTCTCTTTTATTTCAGATGTGTTCTGATCTGGGGAACTGTAGAAAAATCAAAGACAATTCTTTTGCTGAATTTAAAGCTGCATTTCTCAATTACACTGTAATCAAGAGAGAGAGTTAGAAATGCGTATTTCTACTTAATAAGGCCTTTCTGCTAATTGTGTAAGCAGAGTCTTTTATGTCAGTAATGGTGTAATTACAATGTGATGCTCTCATTCTATAATAGCATTTGATCTTCCTGAAATTAATATGTAAATAACAAACCCAAAAGATATTTCCTTTAAGTGCTTTCTTGGTTATTTGCCTTAGCCCTGTCTATTACATTCTTTGTTCCTAAACTGGTCTTTCAAGTCTAATCTGCTTACCTGTTCCTATAGCAACAGCATTTTTTTGGACCTTCAGAAGTAGATTTCTTCTGGTATCAAAACTGAAAAATTATAAGGGGATCAAAGGCACCCACATCTATGTGGCTTACTTAACCACCTCCTTATTTTTTTTGGGTTTGACAGCCAAATGACAATTACCTTCAGGCCCTACACAAATGTCACCAGAAATGACTTTCTGGCCTTATTTTTATTTTTCATCATTCTCTATATTAAGTTGAAAATTTGATTCCCATACTTAATACTATTAACCAGAAGGCAGGGTCTTCTTCCCTCTAATTTTTAAAGTAGTTCCTTAAATTATCAGATCTAAACACACCCATGCTTTTCCTCTACACTCATTTCTGCTCTTTGATAATTTGTCTCTCAAGACTCACTATGAGTCCTTGAGAATAGACATTCTAGAGAAGCCACTATCTCTTCTAGGGAAACTAGTATTCTTTCTGAAGCTTACACATTCCCGAGGAGCAATTTTAATATTCATCTTCATAATAGCACTTCCCCCCTGACCCCAATACATCAGGGCATCCGTGAGTTCTGCATGGAGCTGAAAGCCCAGTTAGGAGAGAGCCTTTGATATGGAGAGAGACACTGTTTTCTGGAAAGGAGTCATTTGCCCAGAGTCTCAGTGGAGGTGCAGCAATTAGTATGCATCCTGTTCTGCCTGGAGAAACCTGGCCACCTGCCTGTTGCAGTGTTTGACATTCTGTCGCCCTTTTTAACTTACTACTCCACTCCCCTTGCCTAGAGCAGTGAACTTCAAAAATGATCAAGATATCTTAAATGTATTCCACACATTTTCATGGCAATTTTTAGTTTACAAAATGTTTCTTATTGGCCACTAGCTAATTTAGTTTTCACTACAACCTGTGAGTTAGGCGTTATGATTTCTGTTTTAACTATGAGAAAACCGAGGGGCTGAGAATTTGCTTGTCTTAAGTTACATAAGCCCAGGAGCTGAGGCACCACATAGGTTACTATAAGTTGGTAGCTCTTCTGTCTTTGGACCTGAACATAGCTCACTGATACCTTTTTCAGTTCTTCCCGGGGACACTGCACTCTTAACAGGAGAACCCACTTCTTCCCTTAATACAACAAAGCTTAGGAGAACATATGATCTTTGATTTCCCAGGACCCATTTCGTTATAGATGATTTGTATTTTCTGAGTAAGCCTGCCTTCTCATTCTTCAGTGTTAACCTATTTAGAAAGCCAAGATTACCTAGAAGCGTGTCATACCCAAGTGTTTATAGTTCCATGCTTTATAACATACACCCGACCTTTGCAGAAGTCATTCCTCTGATGATAGAAATCGCTTCAAATTTCAAGAGAAAACAGCATGCTAGGGGTTAGCCCTCATGTCAAATAGAGAAGAACAAGAATATTTCCAGGACTTAAGATGCTTGGGACTATCTTTCATTCTGGAATAAAAGAGATACACTAAGGAGTAACTCTGAGTGATCCGAAAGTAATATCTTAAGTACTAAATGAGATAGAAGCTGATGGAAGAAAGAATTTGTTAAAGGGATAAGGAAGAATACCGGAGAAATTGCTATTTAGAGAAGGTACACCCAAATGACTCAGAAAGGCCTCAAAAGAGATACTGACTCCCAGACAGCACCATGCCCGGATCAGATGCCTCACTAGCCTTGGGCTAGCCACTTGCCTGCTTTCACCTCAGTTTTTTGTTTTGTTTTATCTGTGAAATAGGAGTGGTCCTTCTTACCCTACCTGTCTCACAGGGCTCTTATGAAGTACAACTGAGGTAATCTATGAGGAAGTGTTTTAAGAAGTATAAAATTCTGGAAAAGAGTAAGATGCTATTACCCAACCAAAGATGGAAGCTTCAGCAATTTGTCAGTCCAATGAATAGTATTTCCTCAAGTGAGGTCATCTCTTCTTATTAAATAACTAGAGGCCTGATGCATGAAATTCATGCAAGGGCCTCGGCCCTCGCAGCCCCAGCTTTGTCTGGAAGGTCGTCCAGACGGTTGTTCTGTTGTTTGGTCTAATTAGCATATTAACTCTTTATTATATAGGCTGACAAGTGAGGAATATATACTTGGATCACAAGCGATAGAGACTATTTATAAATAGAGGGGATCTGAGTCACCTTATACCCTGCCTTATAGTCTTACCTTGGGAAATCACCTTCCTATGTTGCACTAGGTAGCAAAGGTTCCTTCCCCATCTCAGTTTCCTTATTTGTAACATGAGTATCAGAGGGCCTTTGAATTCTGATGTTGCATATGTATATTTTGAAAGACCTTATAAACACTGAATGCTCATTTCCTTAATTATGACTACACAAAGCTATCATGGTTTAATTGATTCAAACGTTTACTATTATCCTCAGTGACACCCTTGTGAACTCAAACTGCTTTTGGAAAAGTATTTTGTTCCAGTCAGACCTCTGTTAAAAGTAATGTTTCCTGATATTTTTTTCCCTAGGTTTTAGCAAATGAGAAAAAACACACACCTTGAATTAACTTTTTCTGATAATATAGATAACACGTTTATTGTAAAAATTTAAAATGACACAGAGTAGTCTAAAGAATGAAGTAAATATGATTCTTGAAATTTCCACTCAGACATGATCAATCTATACTAATAAAAGGGTAATATGCTAATTAGACCGGATAGACCAGGCATCTTCTGGTCGTCTGGTCCTCCTTCTTGACAATGCTACGGTGGCGGGGGCCAAGGCAGAGGTGGTTAGGGGAAATCAGGCCAGCAGGGGAGAGCAGTAAGGACGATCACGCCAGCAGGGGAGGGCAATTAGGGGTGATCAGGCAGGCAGGCAGAGGTGGTTAGGGGTGTTCAGGCTGGCAGGCAGAGGCAGTTAGGGATGATCAGGCAGGCAGGCAGGTGAGCAGTTAGGAGCCAGCAGTCTCCAATTGGGAAAGGGATGTCCGAGGGATCCCGGATTGGAGAGGGTGCAGGTCTGGCTGAGGGACACCCCCCCTGCACAAATTTCGTGCACCAGGCCTCTAGTATTATTATATTAGTGACTCTCCTTCCAGACTTAGAAAGAGTGCATACACAAACTTTATCACTTTCTAATTAGTTTACTGCATTTTGGCATCATCTATACTTTTGCAATTATTTGCATGTTGTATGTGTATCATGGAAATACTATGTCACCATGTGCTACTGTATATCTCTTCCTGACTCTGCATTCAGTGACGTCATATTAGTAGCTTGAAACGTGTAACATTGGGAGTATTTGAGATATATATTGGTAAATGCTATATAGGACTTTCACCTTGCCCCACCTGAAAGCCAGTTGTTAAATATTTACCAGCACATCACGGATCATATTATTTCCTCAAGACTTACCTTTGTTCCCCACCCCCTTGATATTATACAGTATTTGGATTTCTCTAAATACAATAGAGCTATTGTATTTGGATATCATCCATTTATTTGCACTGTACTTCACGCCAAAGCAAAATTAATCACAACCTATTTTTTTTAATGATCAACCCTAAGCACACATTTAATTATGACATTTGTGTGTGTGTGTTAATCCTCATTTGAGGATATTTTCCCACTGATTTTTATAGAGAGTGGAAGGGAGAGGGAAAGACACACAGAGAGAAACATTGTGTAAGAGAGACACATTGATTGGTTGCCTCCTGCATGCACTCTGACCAGGGCCAGGGATTGAGCCTGAAACCAAGTACATGCCTTTGACCGGAATTGAACCTGGTACCTTTCAGTCCAAGAGCCAACGTTCTATCCACTAAGCCAAACCAGTGATGGCATCTTCTTAAAAGAATACACATAGATACTCACAAAATTGTGTTTTTTAAAAAATAAAAAAATGGAGTAATTTCATATATATCTTTTTTAAGCTGGCCTTTTTATTACATCTAGAATATATTTCCCTTTAGATAATTATGGTTCAGATAATTTAATGTTCAAATTGTATGTTCTTCATTGTCTAAAATTTTATATTTTAATGATAGGTTGGTTAGCTAAATAATCAGAAAACACATAAGGAATTGACAGTAAGTTGGAAGGGGATAAAACAAATGAACTTCTCACTAATGTTTAACTAAATTGTGT